GATAGAATGAAAGAAAGCCAAAGTGGAAGCAGGGTGACAGATAATGGAGCTATGGCGACGGTCCAAGAAGGCAATCATGAATCCTGAGCTCAGGAAGTGGGAATAAGAGGATGGGGGGATTTGAGACGTATTTAGGAGGTAGGAATCGGCAGGACTTGATGACTGACTAGATTTCAGAGGGCACATGGGCATAAAACTTGTGAGGGAACCAGGGAGAGTAAAGAGTAAAGGACAACTCCCAAGTTCATGGCTGGAGTGACTGGGTGGCCAGTAGTGCTTTCACTGCAGTGGGAAATAGAAAGGAGAACAAATTCTAGGGAATAACAAATGCAGTTTCAGACATGTTGAGTTTGAGGTACTTGTGACCTAAGTGGGTATCTTATGCAGTGTATACATAGCTAGTATACAGATTGGATAAACAGATGTACATTATATTATGGAAAATTAGTGTTAAAATGTATAGCTAATCAATAGCAATATTCATCTGATTAGTATTAGAAGCAAATCACATAGTGCTAAAGAAAGCTTGTAGGGTTGTAGGAACAAAGTTTGAAATAGGCAGGGGAAGAGAGGGTGGAGATGCCACATGGAAGATTTCAGGTGATTTCTTGTTTAAGTCCTTATGGCAGAAGATGGCACATGGAACCAGCAGCTAGGTACATTTTGCCTCCCTTCAGTACAGTTTTGAACTCCATGCTACAGGCACCATCTCCACTTTTAACTTAGTAATTAACTACTCTCTGATTTTTTTTCCCTCAATCTTCCTTACCCACACCTTTCTCCTCTAAGTTGGGTAATCACTCCTTTCTCTGAGTTCCTGTAGTGCTCTAGCAAACTTTTCCACGTAGCAGTGTAATTATTCATGTTCATTTGTATCACTTCCTACTACATCATGAGACTTTTGATGGCAAGGGCATAATTTTATTTATCTTGTATTCTAGTGCTGAAGACGGGGCCTGATTTTATAGATATAAATAATATATATGTGATTATATATTATATATGATTGTATATATTATGTATGTATCATATACCATTAAGTATATAAGAATATATTATTATATGTATCAATAAATATTAAATGAATAAAGCCAAAGGTAGTGGTTACCTCCTTTGTGTTGGCCTGTTTGGTGCACATATTGTCAATCCTGTATTTTGAGCACCTCTGTGAGTTAGTAGGGTACTAGGTTCAATAGAGATTGTACCAGTTACCTGTAGTTGAGTAACAAACCACCAGAAACTTCATCGCTTAACACAGCAGCAACTTATTTATTTTCACCATTCTATGTGTTGGGCTGTTTTGTTGGCCTTAACTGGTCTCATTCTGTGACTGCACTCAGGTGGGGGCTTAGTGGGGTTGAGAGTCTTAGAGGGTGTTGCTCACACATCTGCAATGTCCTTTGGGATAGGTGGAAAAACTGCGGCAGCTGGCTTCTCTCTCCACATGATCTTTCACCGAGGGCTGCTTCACAGCACAGTAGCTGCAGAGTTCCAAGAGAACAAGAACAGGAGTCACGAGGCCTCTTGAAGCTGAGACTCAGAAGGCTGCACAGAGACACTTACATTGCATTGTATTGGTCAAAGCCAGTTGCTTGGCCAGCCCAGATGCAAAGAGAGGGGAAAGAGACTTTACCTCGTGATGACTGGAGGTGAAGTCACATTGCAAAGAGGACTGTGGGAAGGGCCATCTTAAAACAAATAAACAGAGACATTTCCAAGGGACTGATCTTGCTCATTATCATATTTTATTGAAATATTAGAGGTAGGATCAAATCAGGAACACTTTTGTTAACGTCCACTCTGAAAATTTTAGAGCCACTTCTTAAAACACTGTAATTGCTTAATGTATATTAGCTAATGACAAATTCTGCAAAGAGGACTGTGGGAAGGGCCATCTTAAAACAAATAAACAGAGACATTTCCAAGGGACCGATCTTGCTCATTATCATATTTTATTGAAATATTAGAGGTAGGATCAAATCAGGAACACTTTTGTTAACGTCCACTCTGAAAATTTCAGAGCCACTTCTTAAAACACTGTAATTGCTTAATGTATATTAGCTAATGACAAATTAAGAAAAGGTGACTTCATGCTGAGACCTGAATACAGAGTTGAACTTGACGATGGTAATAATGAAGAGGAGAAAAGAAAATTTTTTAAGTGAGCCAAAAAATAGGAAAGGGCAAGCAAGAAAAAGGCCAGGATATCTCTTGAAAACGAGTAAGATTGTTCTGGTTGGCTGTAGAACAAGAGGACTCCACAATGAATACAGGATAATTTCAGAAAAGGTGACTTCATGCTGAGACCTGAATACAGAGTTGAACTTGACGATGGTAATAATGAAGAGGAGAAAAGAAAATTTTTTAAGTGAGCCAAAAAATAGGAAAGGGAAAGCAAGAAAAAGGCCAGGATATCTCTTGAAAACGAGTAAGATTGTTCTGGTTGGCTGTAGAACAAGAGGACTCCACAATGAATACAGGATAACGCAGCAGCAGCAGCAGCAGCAGCAGCAGCAGCAGGGGTGGCCTCCCAGAGGGTCCCGGGGGCCCTGGCAGCAACAGCTTGCAGCAACAGCCTCCAGCAGCAGTAGCAACCTCCCCGTGGCCCCCCTAGCATCCCAGAGGGAGCGGGGGGCATCATGGATCAGAGCCACTCGTCCTTTATACTTAAATTCATAACCCAGGACACCTGAGTGCGAGTCAGACAACACAGGAACACCTGGCTGCACATGCTCAATTACATTGGACAATAAGCAAGAAACACCTGGATGCATGTGCATATGGATATCAAATGCTTGGCAAGATTCTGAACATCTGAGGGAGCCCTGACCATTTTCCTATATTTTCCTTACATTGAGTTAAAACATGAAACCTATCACATGTGGAGTTTGTGTTTTCTACACATTTTTATATTTTACACACATTCCCATCACACTGAATGATTATAAATAGTTCTTATTAATGACAACATTTTCAGCCTCAGAGGTCTCAAAGGAAGGTGCCCTCCTTGAGACAAAGAAAAAATACCTCTCTTTCCCGCATCAAGGCTCTGGCTCTCGGCTTGTTAAGACTTCCCTTCAGATGGTGGGTCCTCAAACACATATTCCTGGGGGAGCCAGGGTGGTTTGCCCAAGAATGTAGGATGGCTTGAAGAAGACCAGAGAACTGCTTTTCCTTCTCTTCTTGTCCCAGCTTCCTTTTCTGCAGCAATGCCACACTTGACATCTGAGAATAAAGGTGGGAAGAGGAGAGGAGGGTGAGAAAGACAGGCAAACTGCCTTCACTTGCCTTCATAAATCTGTGGAGGGTGCTAGCCTCTCTCTGTGGGCTGATGGCAGCCCGTTTCCCCCTTTGTGATGGGGGAGGAGATCGGCTAAATAACCTGTATCCTGAAATTAGCATTTAACTGAGTTAATAGCTGGAACCAAAACTGTTCATGGGTCTGGTGGTCATTGAGAGATTTAAGTCCTCTTGTTCATGGCATCTCTATAGCATTCATTGTTTTCTACCACGTACAGTCTTAATCCTCCCATTAGCTATAGGGACTGTCATAGATATCTTTGTTCCCTACAGTATCTAAAACAATGCCTTGCTCATAATAAATGCTTAATAAATATTTATTAAATGAGTACATGAATGAAAGATAAATAAAGGCTTATCAAATTACAAGTGGCAGGATAATTTTGTGATGGCTGGAGATCTATTTGATATTCAACTATCATTAAATTGATTTTTTTTTAATGTCTTTGTAACTTCAGTGATTCCCTTGATGTACTATATCATAAATACAGCAATGGCAAAGACATCACTTTACCTCACAGTGTCTGCGTCAATATTTAGATTAATCACTTACATTTTAAAGGGGATACTCCAATTTTTTCGCAAATCCACCTAATTTCAAAAGAAAAGTGGTTTCCTACAAAGTGATGTAGTCTTGTATTCCTGTGTGCCTACTTTATTAACTATAAGACACATTTTATTTTCTTTTAAGAGATTAATCATACATACTCACTTTTGTTTCTGTATTTAAAAATTAGGGGTCAGGAATTTCAAAGGAAACACTTGGTTATAATTCCAGAATGGTGAGAAAACACAATGGCAGAGACTAAAATCTATCATGGTATTTTGGCTTTCTGCCTTCCTTTAATTTTACAATGGGGGGAAAATCAAGGTGAGACTTGACTCCCTTTAGGAGTCCCTTTCCTGTGTGCTCTGTCTCCAGCCAGGAGAGAGGCCGACGGAACGATAACACTCGATGCCAGGCCCTGTTGCCCACTCAAAGACCCTCCCTCAGGTATCAGTTGCTTGGCTGAGCTTTGAGGTCAATTAGACACCTCCCCTGAGACTTACCTGGCCTGAGGGACAGAGCCACCAGAAAATCCTCTCAGGGAGAGCAGCTGTTATCTGAGCTAGGATCAAAGTCCCCCTCTGTACTCCAGAAAAACATCTTCCAAACTGGGTCTCTTTCCCCATGATTCAAATGAATGTTGAATGAGTCCCCTGGGACGCCAGTTGCTTTGCTCAGGGACAAGCTGTCAGAAATACCGTGCAATGAACGTTCATCTCCTCTTAAGGTCCTTTTTGTTGGAGCATTTTTATTCGTTGTTTCAGAGGCCCATCAGAAGCTAATTCTGAAGCTAGCCAACAGGGAAATGTAAGGATTAATTTTTTTGACAGTTTTCATTTGTACATTGGGTTTTGTCTTTTTTTTGTGAAGTACAACATTGCTTCACCCTGGTGATATTTACAGTATCCCTGACAGGCACAGTGAATATAAAAAGCCATTGTTCAAACATTCAGTTTTGTACGTGAAAGCATTAAAAATAATAAGTAACTTTCCTATTGATCAGATTTGGGTGACAAAGTGATAAAGTTTCTCTTTTGTTATACTAAATCTTTTAGACCAATTTATAGTGGCAACCTTAAACTATGTGGCATGTATGTGCTTAATGGAAGTTTGGTAGTGCAGAAAGTTCTGACCATAATTTTTTTCCAAACAGATTAGCACGAATCATTCATCTGGTGATTACAGATTTGCAAAGACTCAAATACATCCCAAGGTAATGCTTGCTTCGGTTTACTGCTAAGCAGATATAAATAGCACTGGAGTGCAAATGCTTCAGGATCTGGGACATGGCACATCTGCCTTAGCATTTCCAGTAACTACCACAGGGCCTGGAATACAGTAGAGGTAACAAATATCTCTTTAGGTGAGCTAGATTGAGCATAGCATCTGTTATCTTGTTAGAATTACGGAACTGATCAACTGAACTAGGAGTAAAAATGTCACAAGGACGGAATATGTACCTGGGCTGAGGAGAGAGAACATAACATTTCTAAGTACGTTTTTAGATGATGCCTTTTGAATATTTTCATTGTTTTCAGCCTGAATGTATTTTGCTGACGTTGTAGTTATAGCCAGTTTTATTCTTTACGTTTCAGGTTGCCCAGTTTAAATTGATGTTTTTGGTAGCACTGCCAGTGGGTAGGTGGGTGGGTCAGATATTTTAGTCATGGCACACACTATTGTACAGACATCTGCTATATTGAATGGATTATTTTGTTTATCAAGTTTCCCTGAATAGCAATTTCAGTTTTGTATCTTATTTCCTTCTTTGATGAGGGTCTTGCCAGCAGATGCAAGCTACATATTGGCTTGAGTTTCTTGCAGTTCCCTGGCTAGGTTTTTTTGTTTTTGTTTCTGTTTTAAGTTTTTTTTTCTTCCCCTTAGCATTTTTCTTCTCAACAACTGTGTCACTCTAAAGAAATTCAGCATTTTGAACACAACCTTCTAAAATTAACAGCCTCACTAATTTTCCTTTTAAGAAACATGTTTATCTTTCCAAGGTCATTATGAATAATGACATAATTTTCTTCTTTTTCCCCTTTTTTGTTTATTTTCTGATGGGTATTTCTCCCCTTATAAACAACTAGCTCTTCTTTAATAACAACTGATATTCAAGAGAAAGTTTGTGGTTTTGTCTAGGGTACAATGATTCTATTTATTTAAATCACCAAATCCCCCTGTGGCTTAGAGCTGGTGTCAGCAGATCTGTACACTAAGGGTCAGTATCAGACACTTAATGTGAATAACCTGGAAGTCAGAGAAATCCAAGCAAGTATCGTGGTAATCCTGAGGAAGGTATTGTAGGAAACCAAGAGCCTATTGGCCAAGGACTACAAATCTGATAATGCTGATAGTAATAGTTAATACGTACCAATATGTGTCAAGTATTATTCAAAACTCTGTCTGTCTGTCTTCCTACTCACTCAAATCATACAACAAACCTATATGGTAAGTATTACTATCCCCATTTCCCAGCTGAGAAAGCTGAGGAATGACAACACTAAGTACAGCCACCAAATGCAGAGTAAATGGCTGCACATATATTTGCACAAAAGGAAGGAGACAGTGGTACAAACATATTGTTGCCTACAAAATTCCAGGCACCATGCTAGGCAGTAGAGATGGAGAGACAAAATTCCCTTGACTTTAAGTTGCTCACAGTCTAGTGGAGGATCAGAATTGCAAACAGGTTAAGCCAGTACAAAGAGAATGTAGAGAAGGCTGCGTGGGGATGAAGATGCTTGAGGATAAAGACCTCTGGAGCTAGGAACCTGGCCAGATGAAGACTGAGTAGAAGTCAAGGCAGGTGAAGAAGAAAGTTTGGGGATTCCAGGAGGGGAGGAAAGGCATGCGTTGAGGCAGAAAGCCAGGAAACTGTAGTGTAGCTGTGAGGAGAATTCCCTCCATGGTGTTATGAGAATGCAGATTGGGAATTTGGACAGCAGCAGAAGACGAATGTAGAGGAGCAGGTAGGTGAGGCATTTGGTGATAGGCTGTTATATTAGTCCTTTTCTATTCTTGTAACACAATACCCAGAACTGGGTAATCTATAAGGAAATAAAATATACTTCTTACAGTTCTGGAGGCTGGGAAGTCCACAGTCCAGGGGAGGTGAGGGCCCTGTTCTTAGCGGTGACTCTCCACAGCAATGGAGGTGTCACGTGGTGAGAATGGGCTAGAGTGAGTAAGCAAGAGTGAGTAAACCTTCTCACTTTCTCTTCTTCTTTTTTTTTTTCCTTGTTGTCTTTTTTACTGACCGGTAACGGGATCACAACCCTCGGTGTCGCACCCGTACTGGGGACCGGCAACGGGATCGCAACCCTCAGTGTTGCTCCCCCACCGCGCTCTGCCAGTGAGCGGGAACTGGTCTCCACATGGGATCCAAACCCTCGGCGGGAGTGCCGCCATGCTCCCAAGCGGCGCACTCTCCAGTGCACCACCAGGCCGGCCCTCACTTTCTCTTCTTCTTTTTTTTTTTCCTTGTTGTCTTTTTTACTGACCGGTAACGGGATCACAACCCTCGGTGTCGCACCCGTACTGGGGACCGGCAACGGGATCGCAACCCTCAGTGTTGCTCCCCCACCGCGCTCTGCCAGTGAGCGGGAACTGGTCTCCACATGGGATCCAAACCCTCGGCGGGAGTGCCGCCATGCTCCCAAGCGGCGCACTCTCCAGTGCACCACCAGGCCAGCCCTCACTTTCTCTTCTTATGAAGCCATCAGAACCATGTCCATGACAACTCATTAAACCATCAGCTTATTACTCCATGAATGGATCAGTCCATTCACCAGGGCACAGTCCTCACAATCTAATCACCTCTTGAAGGCCCCACCTTTCAACTATCATAGTTGGATTTCCCACTCTTTTAGCACTGTTACAGTGGGGGTCAAGTTTCCAACACATGAACTTTGTGGGAGCACATTTGACCCATAGCAATTGTCCCCAGGACCAATACAAGAATGTTTAATATGTCCTGCCCTTGGAAACATGGAAAACAGGAAGCTGTAAGCATCTGATTCTCCCTCTTGGAGGGGACTGGCTGGCTCCCTCATCTAGACTCTATGTCATCATTTTATTTCTGGCCACATTACCCTCCTTTTAGAGTAAGGCCATGAGGTTGCACGTTGGTGACCTCCCCTGCTTAATGACACTGTGCCTTGGGTAAAGCTCATTTCTCCTTTTTATTTTTCTTTTTGCAGATGGAAGAATCACAGGGACTATGTTGGATGAATGTACATACATTGGTCTAGCAGTTTGACTGAATTGGAAAATCAACAAGAATTAGCAATCTTGAGGTAGAAGCAAAAGGCTGAAGAATATGAATAGGCGGGAGAGGTTTGAAAAGAATTTTAAATGTGAGGCACTGGCAAAAAAGCAAGGTAGAGAAGTACTAAAACAGAGTAGACAATGTAGACCTTCATACAGTTTCACAATACTTGTAAAGCTCAAAGTACTTGGTGGTTCCAGTTCCAAGAAATTTTTTCTACCTTTGTTTATGGCACTTACTATCTTGTTCCACTATAGTTAACAAGTTTCTATTACTAGACTGTGAGATAGTTCAATCTAATCTTATTCCTCTTTCAGTATCTCCAACACTTAGCACAGTGCTTGGCACAAAGTTATTGCTTGATAAATGAATGTTAAATTAAAAAAAAAAACAATGGAGAGCTTCAGAGAGGTGTGGGCCTCACTTGTGTAGGTTGGTGGTTGTGTAGAGAGAAACACAGAAGGCTCAGGACAGAGCCCCAAAGAAGAAAATTATTGAGAGTCAGTGCAACAGAAAGTGCAAGGGCTTTGGGCTCAGAGAAACTCAGGTGTGAAACTCTGCCTTACTGGCACTTTGCTCTACCCCCAACTCTGGGCAGGCCCAGCCCCCCATGGGGAGGCAAGGGCAGGAAAATGTGTCTCAGCAGCAGCCCGCCAGGATCCCTTTACCCCTGCCTGTTCACATGGACACCAGCAGAGTCAACTTCTGCCCATCTCAGGCCAAGTTTTCCATATGTAGGTGTGTCCAGCGGTGGCCTCATTAGAATCTCAGGTCCCTGGAAGGTCTCATATGCAGCCCAACTCTGTGCTCTCATTTCCTCATTGACTCACCCAGGGCTGTCTATCCCACAGCTAGACAGTCCTAGAGGAGTGTCTACTTCTGGGTTTGTACCAGGCCTCCGCATCCACCCACTGCATTACCATGTTATGCTGTATAACCTGGGGAGTGGTCTGGTGGCCTGCCTACCTTTCTGGTAACTTACTGAGTGACAATCTTGTATTAGCTCTTATTCCCTCAAAGTGCGGCAAACCGTATTATGTATCTGGGATTGAAATTATGCAAAACAGACAAACAATTAAACTTTATAGGTTCCAGTTGGCTTTTCTCTCTCTTTCTTTAAAATTAACAGGTTTTATTTTTTAGGGCAGTTTTAGATTTGCAGAAAAATTGAGCAGAAAGTACAGAAAGTTCCCATATTCTTCCTCTCCTTCTCTGCCCCTGTTTTCGCTATTATTGTCTTGCATTGGTGTGGTACATTTATTACAAATGATGAGCCAATATCAATACATTATTGTTAACTAAAGGCCATAGTTTATATGGGGGTTCATTCTTTGTGTTGCATAGTTCTACGGGTGTAGTGGATTGAATTATGTCCCCCCAAACTCACTGAAGCTTGAATTGTGTCCCCCAAGTTTTATGTATTAGAAACTTGGCCCCCCACAGTGACCGTTAAGAGGGTGGGAAATCCTATTATAGTAATTGAAAGGTGGAGCCTTGAAGAGGTGATTAGATTGTAGGACCGTGCAGTAGTGAATGGATTAAAAATGGTGGTCAGGGGTGTGGTTCTGAGGGCTTTAAAAGACGAGGAGAGTCTGCCTTTCTGTCTCTGCTCTCTCTGCTTCCACCATCCCTTGGTGGTGGCAACAGTGACCCAGGGGTCTCACATTGCAAGATGGTGGAAGCAGAGAGGGCAGAGGAAGAGAGACAGACTCTCCTCTTCCTTTAAAGCCCTCAGATCCACACCCCTGACCACCATTATTAATCCATTTTTGGACTTCCCAGCCTCAGAAACTGTAAGCAATAAATTTTGTTTTTCTTTATAAATCACCGAGTTCCAGGTATTTGGTTATAAGCTAAGAAACAGACTAATACAATGGGTTTTGCTAAAAGCATAATGTTTTTATTAAGCATATTCACCATTACAGTATCATGCAGAATAGTTTCACTGCCCTAAAAATCTTCCTGTGCTCTACCTATTCATTCCTTCCCCCGCCTCCCTGGCCACAACCCCTGGCACTCGCTGATTTTTCTTTTACTGTCCCTATAGTTTTGCCTTTTCCTTAATGTCATATAGTTGGACTCGTACCATATGTAACATTTTCAGGCTGGCTTTTTTCACTTAGCAATATGCACCTAAGGTTCCTCCATGTCTTTTCATTGCTTGATAGCTCATTTCTTTTTATTGCTGAATAATATTTTAACATATGAATGTCCTTTAATAATTATTATCTATTCACTATTAAAGGACATCTATGTTTCTTCCAATTTTGGACAATTATGAATAAATCTACAATAAAGTTTGCATGCAGTTTTTTATCTGGACATATGTTTTCAACTCATTTGGGTAAATACCTAAGAGTACGATTGCTGGATCATATCGTAAGACTATGTTTAGCTTTGTAAGAAACTGCCAAACTGTCTTCCAAAGTGGCTGTGCCATTTTGCATTCCTACCAGCAATGAACGAGAGTTCCTATTGCTCCACATCCTCAGCAACATTTGGTGCTGTCACTGTTTTGGGTTTTCACTATTCTAATAGGTATGTAGTGGTATCTTATTGTTTTAATATGCAATTCTCTATGAGCATGTTTTCAAATACTTATTTGCCATCTGTATATTTTTGTTGGTGAGGTGTTTGTTCAGATCTTTTGCCCATTTTTTATTGGATTGTTTTCTTATTGTTGAGTTTTAAGAGTTCTTTGCATATTTTGGATACAAGTCTTTTATCAGATATCTGTTTTGCAGATATTTCCTCCTAGTCTGTAGCTTTTTATTCACTTAACAATGTCTTTTGCAGAGCGAAAGTTTTTAATTTTAATAAAGTCCAACCGATCAATTTTTTCTTTCATTGGTTGTGCATTTTGTATTGTATCTAAAAACTCATTGCCATCCCCCAAATCACCTAGAGTTCCTCCCATGTTATCTTCTAGAAATTTTATAGTTTTGCATTTTACATTTAGGCCTATGATCCATTTTGAGTTAATTTTTTGCAAAAGGTGTGTAAGGTCAATGCCTAGATTCATTTTAAATTAATCTGTTTGGTTGTTCTGGTTGTCTTGTTTCTTTTACTGTTCTTGTATTATTGGTTTGTGTTTTGGTGCAAGTCTATTTCTCCCCTGATTAAGCAAGTCTATTTATTTCTGAAATATAATATGATTTTTGACATACAAATATATTTTATTAGCTTTATCACTTTATTCCCCAAACGCTCTATCATAAAATATGTGGATTTGAATAATTAATCTTTTTTCTCTGCATTTTTAATATGTAAAAATCAGTGGTAATCTTTAATTTTGGAGAGATGGTGAAAGAATTACATGTTAGACCACATTGAGGGATGGGGAATTATATCTATTAAGTTCTTACTTTCAGACATTGTACTAGGGATTTAAGCATATCTCCTTTTGCCCTCAAAATGATCTCTGGAAATTTATTTCCATTTTGTCAGCAAAGATGTATAAAGCTGAGAGAAGTCCCAAATGTGGAGTAGGATTTGAACCCAGATTTGACCAACACCAGAGTGTCTGCACATTCCATCTGACCACGTCACCTTCCTCTCAGGGACTGGGAAGAAGAGCCTGGAAAGACAGTTCATCTTTCCTTAAACTGAGGCTTACAGGGTTTTGGAGGTCGTGTTAGATTTTGGTCAGACCAAGAGAGAGGATTAGGACAGAGAGAAGATTATTATAATGGATCTCATGGAAGTTCATTTGTTCACTCATTCAAACAGCATGTTTTGATCACCCGTTGTGAGCCAGGCATTAGCAGACACTGTGAGCATTTCATGAGGAAAGTGGTTATGGTCAAGGCCCCTCTGGGCAGTGGGTACAGGGGAGGTAGATGGACTTGTACACTTTGTCCTTATCTGCCTCCAGCAGGGGCTTTTCTTCACCCTGTGGAATTAGTGCTACTCCCTTGGGCACAGTTGACTCACCCAGACTGAAAACTGACGGAGCTCTTGCACCGCAGAAGCAGACATCAGTAGGTGGTAAGATGAACATAGACCTCTCTACCCTGGGCAGGTGGCCCCAAGAAACCCTGGGTTACCTTCTTTTTTTTTTTTTGTCTTTTTTTGTCTTTTTTCGTGACCGGCAACGGATCGCAACCCTCAGTGTTGCGCCTGTACTGGACCGGGGCCGGCTACGGGATTGCAACCCTCAGTGGTGCCCCCGCTCCTCGCTCAGCCAGTGAGCGGCGAGTCTGCATGTGGGATCCGAACTCTCGGCGGGAGCGCCACCGCGCTTCCCAAGCGGCGCACTGTAGCAGTGCGCCACCGGGCCGGCCCTGGGTTACCTTCTTAAAGGTAGCATTTAGAATGAATCTATTTTGGCACACCCCATTTTGGAAAATGCTTCAGCCATTACTTCAAAACTTGGCCTTGCTGCTGCCTCCTGTAGCTCTCTAGCTCCAATGGGTGGCCGTGTTGCAGCCCATCAGACCCTCTGTGGTCCCTTGCTGGCCAGCAGGTCCTGATGTCGGTTTCTCCCTTGCATTCCTGCCCTGTTCACTGTGCCCACTTCTGCTCAGCTTTTGTTTGTCGCCTTCATAACTTGTTCCCACCGTCTGCCTGCCTGAGCCCCTCTTACCGTCTTCTCCACCCCCGCCCCCATACCTCAGGCAGTCATGATAAAACCTGGGTCCAAAGAAATGAACTCAAGAATGGGAGGAAAGAAACGAGAGGGAGCAGAACTTGAACGAGTGACGGTAATTCCTGAGAGCTCACTGCTGTAGGAGCTTCGCGCTGCAGGTATTATCTGGGTTCATTTGAATCCTCCCAACAACCCTGTGCCCTGTTGTCCTGGGTGCCACAACCCACAGCAACACAACGAGAGAGAGAGCACAATGTCCTTCCTATGTTGGGTACTTGGGTCCATTTAAGATCTGAAAGTGAGGCCGGCCAGGTGGCGCACTGCTATAGTGCACCGCTTGGGAGTGCGGCGGGGCTCCCACCGAGGGTTCGGATCCCACATACAGACTGGCCACTCACTGGCTGAGCGAAGTGTGGGAGCAACACTGAGG